GGGATATGTCAAATGCTGTATTTTTAATCCTCTATATTAATAAAAGAATTTCTGTAGAGGGTAAATGATGTTGGTTATATCCAACAAACTCATTATACAACCAAACGAACCATTAACCAAGCCTACGTTCATAAACTGATGATAGTTTGAAGCGTAATAAAGCTTTCAAGTGTAATAACTCATGAGTAATGTGTTGTTTTCGAGAAATGTGTAAAATTCGGTCATAGTTCTCGTTCAATAAGGCAGCGATGTTTTTTTCCTGGTGAATGTCAGTTTATCTCACATTTTTTATTATGCAGTTTTAATGAAATTTGAATGAAGACAACCAATTGTTTTCATTTCCGTTCATGTCATTCGTAGATATTCTTCTTTGAACCATCTTTGTTGGGGTTTTGACAACTGATATAACATAGGCTCGTCGAAATGTCTTACAATTTACAGCCTTTGCTGTCTGATCGAAGATGCACCAGGTTTCGTGATAGGCAACGATTCTGTTCCGGAAATGTTCTCGAGCCTGATATTTGACAGAATGTTATGGAGAGATTTCCTGATTTCCCTGATTATAGTTTCAAGAGATATTCAGAACTACTAACAAAGATATACCTCTAACTTGAATACTCAGATCTTACTCAAACGAGGATTATGAGTTAAATAAAAACAATATTTTATTGTTGTATAATCTGTTGTTTTAACGATTTTATTGTGATCTGAATTTTGTTCTCTTCGTTATTTTTATAGTAAGTATGATTTTTTTGGTGTTAATATAATATATAGAAATCAATGTTTGTTCATATTTCATGCGCTGCCTTACCGTTCATCCGATTGCGAGAAAACGTATTGCTTGCACTTGCGAGAAGAATATAGATATAGTACAATGGTATGTGTGTATGACGCACGTTGATTCGTGTTGATTATTTTGTTTGTTTATGCCGATTCAAGCGCCCCTGAACAGAAACTCTACGCAACCTGTCACACTCTCAAGTATTGAGTATGTCTTCCATGAATATTCTACCTCTGCAATTTTGAAATATTAGCCGGAATTATTACCTGAACATCTCGGACAAAAAAATCACATTTCTCCAAGACATTGTCATATCAAATGCATGCCCTATGTTAAAATTAGGGCGTAGAACAAACACACACTCGCGAGAAATTATTTCATCTATTAAAATGTTTGCAGAGCATAGTGAAAAACGTGATTAATAATCACGTGATCAGTGCGAAGTGTAATTTATTGCAGAGCGAAGTATTTCCGGGTCCACTTGTTCTGAATAAAATCAAAACACCAGGAATTTGAAATGCAATACTGGCTTCAGCGAGAGAATATTTCAAAACTTGGCGAGAGCATTTCTTGAGACAGTAAGGAATATAAGTTTATCTTCTTTCATAAGAGACGCCTAAGACAAAAGACGGCAACATTCTCTTTCTAGACATTTGCCTCTACTCGAGACATTTGTCCCTTCATTTCCTTCGTCCCTGGATGAATTACCCTTCTCTAGAGAGAAGAATTTCATTCCTCTTGACTTGATCCTCAACGCAACAATCTACTACTCCGCGCATCCGTGAATGTTTGTAGTTCATGACCTGCCTCCTACGCCTGATACTTCATCCCAAACTCTTCCTGAAGTACAGAAAATCAAGATATGAACTGAAAAGTAACAATTAACAAAAAAACATTGAAGTCCCTTGAAGAGAGCACGCAACTCACATTTAGTTTACGTTTCTCCGCTATTCAATTATAGAAGTTGTAGCAGCATGATCACGTTTCAGACCTGCCTACAGGAACTAAATTAGAGATTCCAGACTTACTGATAATATTTAAATATAAAAATAGATCGTGTTCAATCCATATTTTTACGAATTTATTTTATCTGCTTATCAGATGAGGGTAGTGAAGTCAAAGACGAAAAACAAATTGTATATTCTAATTATTTTTGACGTTAAACAATCAAAATGAAACCTGACTTATTACCTGCTCTCGAATGTTACATGTTTTTCAAGTTAAGTGAATTGGCCAATTATTTTGGAACTGATTTTATTAACGTGTATGTATGTTCAAGGCGCGACAGCCCATGTACGGGCTCAGGCCTACCGGCGACGCGGCCTGCCTCCCGGCCATGGGTTAAGGGGGTTCCTCTGATTAGCAAGTAGACATCGCCACTCCGTATTGCGGTCTTATCAACCTGAGAAGTGAATTTTCTGATCGTCACACAGCAACACATACAGGGACATTGCAAGGAAAATGCACACTATAGTCTTGGCTCGACCGGAAAGCGAACCCGGAACCGCATAGTGGATAACGAGCACGCTGACCAAGAGCTAGCTACCAGCTGATTTTATTAACATACTATTCCAAATTTAAATACCTTTGTTACTGAAACCATTCTCTACAAAATATATTGGGTAGTTATAAACTTACTTACTGACTTACGTATTTACATGCAGACTTATTTTTAACATCTCTATCGACCAAGTTTAAAAATGAAGGCAATACTCTAAATTTTGTCGCAGTAATGATATAAAATTTAGACAATATATTTTCATTCATAAGAGTGCTTTGCGGTTTCTTCTAACATCAGTGTTCTTCTAATTCCTTGCGTCGTTTTCTTTATAGTGCCACTTTTCACTTTGCTCTGTCTTCTAAAATCTGAAACTCCCACTCTCCTCCCACTAATTGCTGCTACGCACTGAGACGCATTGCGGTACAGAGTCTATGCCAAGTCCTATGCAGAGGATTCCTCTGATCTCTGCAAGAATTCTGTGAAAAATAAACCGTTAAGAGAAATAAAAATTACTACATGATATATCATGGTATGTAATGCATAAGACTAAAATGATAAAATCGTCTTCTTCAGTGTGCAAAAAATTCACAACTAGTTTCAATTTAGAAATCAACTTATCTTCAAATATTCAAGATATGAACCCGGTGGTATGAATTCTAGAAAACTAAAATCAATGTCGCCATGCAGTTATGACGTTTGTCAAATAAATTATTGGTAGTGTGTACTATATCAGTAGTAGACACTGTATTCTCGTCATCATGAACTAGTATTCTATCTCAACCAAACAGAAAATTGAATAAATCGTAAGCATAACTTTTTCTGCTATTCTTATTAATGAAACCATTACGTTTTACATAAACAGGTTTATTATTATGCATTTGAAAAGTGAACGCAAACTTAAAAGTTTGAGACCCCGGTAGAGAAATTCGAAAAACAAGCGTATGATCGTAAGTAAGCACAACCAAACACGTAATAAAATAGATTATTGTAAAGCGAAAATTATATTACAGTCGTCTTTTTTACATCGAAAATAAAACCTGTTATACAATATATTCTTTTAACATTTGTCAAGAATAAAAATACGTATCGAAAATACGAGTAAAATTACGTTGTTTCATTCACACGTTTCTGTTGGTTATGGTACAATCATACGGTTTTACATTGTATATTCATGTTTTCATGATGAACTTGAACGTTTCCATTGTAAATAAACGTGTTCAGGGTGCACTAATTGAATGTTACACACGCTGGCGAATATTGAGATTTTTTTAATCGAATATGATGAAGAGATGGCAAAAATGTTTTTTTAAAACTCTAAACATACGCTCTACTATACTTGTTAATAAATGACACGCCATACTAGGTTGTCAAACTCACAGAAAGTCTTGGACGAATGTATTTGGTGTACGGTAAGAATAACTTAAACGGGTCATCTTTTTGCAGGGGAGGGGGTAAAAATAACTATAAGTGACTAAAGGCCTGAATGTACAAGTGTATTATTCGAGAATTTCCACAAATGTTGCACTTCATTCTTCTTACTCCGTTCAATAATCGCAACAGATAAATTCCCATTATTCAATAATTCATAAAATAACATATTATACTATATTTTGGTACATAAAAATAATTTGTCAAATGATCTTCAACAATTGCAACACTTTCTGAGTGGGCATTTTCCCTATGTTGTATTTTCTGTACCAGGAAGTGCCAAATATAGGAGCAGAAGCTGCACGGCTATCATACCTACCCGCTTTTAAATTGTAAACAAGATAGTAGTAACAAGAAAGCCTGTGAAAATGATTGAATGAAGGAATAAATAATACGTTCAACATGTACTTGTGCTTGATGTGGTCCGCTGTCGAGATCTTTCCTAGATCAAAGTTCCAGTGTTTTGACATGTCGTTGGAGGGTAACGCGACTCGGAAACATAAGTTCGAGATAAAAGGCATTAAAATGTTTTCTTACAATTGAAATGCAGGAAACACGCTTAGTAATTGGTGGATACTGAGGAAGCATTACAAAATGCGGCCTGTGAATTCTGTTAATTTTACCTAAATAATTGAGAAACGTTGTTTTATGGCTAAAGATTTACACATGCATTTGTTTGCAATAGTGTTTAAATATTATCTCGAATGCGTACAATTTGAGTATCATTACACAACGTTTATCGGTGTTCAATTTATACTCAAAGTTCTGCGGAAAGAGAAGCATCGCTCAGATCACGTGCATAATGCATGCCATCACACTGACGTGGCCCCGGAAGGAGCATCATGCAAAATATCTATAACTCGGGAACGAAAATGTCAATTTTTTTCAAATATTGCTAATCTTGCCCTTTCTAAAAATTTATTATTATTTATTTCAAACTTTTAGTCATCTTTGAACTATTAGTCGTTAAAATGATGGGAAGGGATTCTGGAACTCAAGAAAACGTGAGATGATCTTTTCCCCCATACGTCACATACAGTTGTTTACTCTTTTTTTGACTAAATAAATCTAAATCTAAATCTAAAGAACGGCGACTGTTAAAGTGAACATTTAATTTCGCACCGTCGTGGCCTTTTTGCGTGTTATATGTAGTTGTGTCAGGGTTGCGAGCCATGTTCAAGTCAGTGGTTGTCAAACCCATTTGGAAACATCAAAGCAAACAGTTATTCTCGCGCCGCCGTGGTCTTTTGGAGTGTTATATGTAGTTGTGCCAGGGTTGCGAGCTATGTACTAGACAGTGGTTGTCAACCACATTTGGTTGGCGCGGCTCGCCCTGTCGTCACGTGTGGAAGATGACTCACCGATGGTGGTGTAGATGGTCCCGCAGAAGAAGACGGCGTTCCAGAAGGTCCACTGCTTGTTGTCCTCTTTGGAGACGTTGGTGTCGAGCGCGTGGTCGTGCCAGTCGAGCACGACGCCCTGCTCGTAGTCGACGAGGCGCTGCGAAGCCTCGCGCAGCCACGCCTCCTCGTCGCCGGCCATCCGCGCCTCCCGCCCCAGCGCGCGCAGCTCGCGCAGCAGGCGCAGGCGCTCGTCGTGGATGTCCTTGACGGCGGCCAGCACGCGGTCCTCGTGGCTGCCCTCCACCAGGCGGAAGATGAACGCGCCCAGCAGGCTGTACGACAGCACCACCAGGAACAGGAACATGTGCGTGAACCACTTGCGCGACCACGAGCTGATCTTGCCGTACAGCCAGAAGGCCGTCTTCTCCCCGACGCTCAGCCCGGACTTGGCCGTGTTCATGGTGATCTCCTTGAAGCCCTCGAGGCCTTTGAACATGAACGCCGACGCCTTGTTCGGGTACAGCTGGATCATGCCGAGGGTGCCGCCCTGCGCGCCGGCGATTGGCACGCCGCCCACCGGGGTCACGGGGATGGAGAACCATGGGGGTGTGGGCGGGGAGCGCGGTGGGCGGCGCCACCAGCCACGCCGGCTGCAGCGCGGGGCCCGCGGCGCCGCGCCGCCGCGCCGGCGAACGGGCGGGAGGTGGGAAGATGGGCATCGTGATGCGCGGCGCACGCCCCGCCCGTTGCGGCTTGCGAGGCGTGTCGTGCTCGTGCGCGTCGGGCACCGCCAGCGTCGACGCGCGGCCCTGTGTGGGTGCGGCCTGGGCACGCCATGGCGCCGTAGCAGAGCCGGACGGGCGACGAGGAACAGGCGGCGGAGGAGGAGGAGGGGA